TGTCTTTTAGAACCCAACAGGCTCCATCTACTGGTGAGGGGAGGCTGCAGCATATGTGACCTCTTCAAGAGAAGGGGCCACAGTAGTTTCAATGACCTCAAGCCAGACCAGATGTTGGCCTCCCAGGAAAACCAATCACTAGCAGAAGTTGTGTCACCTGGGCTCTCGTAATGATATCAGCATCTACTGTAATGTCAAATTCCAAGTGAGTGTCGACTGACCCTAGGGGTCAATGATAAACCAAGCCTAACCAACCATCCAAAAGAGAAATACAATTATGCTATGAAAAATAAACCAATTATTAACCTACCATCAACCCGTGTTAAATGTCTTGTTCTTTGTCTCTGTAACATAAGACTGAACTGGAACATTTTCAGCCTTAAAAATTAGAGAACAAAAGTGCCTTCACAGTAGCTTGGCCTTGTGGAGCACTGCCAAGTCACCACCAAGCCAGAGCCCAGCGAGCTGCAGTGTTCTGCATCACCACGGCCTCCACCACGGCGAGCACAAGTGTGTACTTCCTGGGTAGGACTCATTTTCAGGGAAACATGACAAATTGATTCACTTTATTTATACTCATAATATAACAATATTCAATAGTAATAGTATAATGTAAATCATTTATCTGAAGATTAGCAAAGTTTTCTTGTTATAACAATACATGTGGGGACAATGTGATAGCTCAGCAGATTAAAGTGCTGGTTTAGGCAAGCTAAGACAGGCTCACAGGCTGGGGTTCAACTGTGGGGACCACGTGCTGCACCAGCCCAGCACCCAGGATGGGATGAGCCGGCCAGAGTCTGGGCGTGGTGGCGCATGCCTGTAATCCAGCTCTGGGGAGGCTGAAAGCAGAGGATCGTCACAAGTCTGAGGTGCATAGTGAGACCCTGTAGCAAGCAAATACATTAAAAAATTGCATATAAAAGGAATGGAAAACCAGGAAACGGAAGAGCAAATTTGACAAATTAATCAATGTTAGGAGACAAAATTAAGATAGTTGTTCTATTGAGGTGTAAAAGGAAATTAATATGGTTCAAGAACATTTGCAGAGGGAAAATATGAAGGAAAAGGAAAATGGAGCAAAATAGAGTACATGAAAGAAAGATAAGAAGGAGGAAATAAAGCAGAAATTGAAAGAAGAAAGACCAAAACAAGGAGAAAAGGGAGGGAGAAAAACTAATAATAAATAATAATAAAAATAATAAAAAGTAGAAAACTTAAAAGGGATTTAATCAAAGAAAATATCCCCTTTCTCGTACATTAGTTTCTTTCCAAAGTCTGAAGTCTTGGCATCCCTCAACCGAGCGCCCTCCTCTGGGATCAGGAGCCTGTGGGTTTCAGAGGTGCTCTCCGCGCCTGACGGGCGCCTTGGTCAGTTCATCCTGGACTGTGGTCACTGTACAAGCTGAAATACGTCTTCATTCCTGAGTGTAGAAGGCACACAATGGCACTCCTCCGGTCCCTGCTGCACGTAGTCTGTAGGTGCTGGATTCTGATGATGGACTCAGTGTCTGCAGTTGCCAGGCCTGCTTGGTCCCTTCTATTCTGGGCATTGTCTTGGTTCAGGATCTCCTTGTTTGGATGCTCCTTAATTCTTCTGGAGCCTGACTGCAAGGGGCGGAGCTTTTCTCCTTGTGATGCAGCGAGGGAGCCGAGGGCTCGCGGAGCACGTCTCTTTCCCGCACTGGGAGAGGGTTACTGGGGGGTGGGGAAGGGGCTCCATGGATCCATCATAGATCAGGCAGCTCAGGAGCTGCCGTCATCGGGAGGGGCGCTCTGGGTGAGCGTCTGTCTTTCCCACCTTGGTACACACTCTGTATGGTCCTATTCATGAACCTTTTTCTCCACTATCTTTGAATACCTATTTCCACATATACTCATTAAAGACATTCCCCATTTTATTAAAAATTTCACAATCTGGTCCTTCCTTCTTTTCTTTTCTTTTCTTTTCTTTTCTTTTCTTTTCTTTTCTCTTATATTCCTTTTTTTCTTTCTTCCTTTCTTTCTGACTTTCATTCTTGCTTCTTTCATTCTTTTTTTTCCTTCCTTTTTTCCTTCTTTTATTTCTTTCTGAGCTTTTACAATTTATAAAAAGCACTTTGAACACTGCTCTGGTTAACATGCTCTACACTAGAGTACATGGTTTTGGGTGATACTTGTGATGCCTAGAACGTCAAAGAATAGACAAGTCCCACAACCCGCACTGAAGGGGCACCGCGTACGCAGTGCTAGCTTACTTGGCCACACAGCACACAATTCCTTCAGTTCCTGAGGACGCACTTCCCAAGTTTCCAGTGCTCCTTTCTGCATCCTGAGGGAAAAGCACTCTGACCCTCACCGGGGGAGTCCTCAGAGAACACAGGCGGAAGTCCCCAAGTGGACAGCAGCTCTCCAAGGCTCCAGGCTGATGAAATCTGTGGTTTTCTCTATGGAAATTTCAGCTCTTACTTTGCACTGTGCCAGGGCCACAGAAAGAAGAAGGAAAAATGTGAAAACCTAAAAGATGTGGCGTATAACCACAGGACAGAGGCTGTGTGAGAGCCACTGACAAGACGGCGAGGTGTGCGCCCTTCTCTACGCACCTAGCGTCCGGTACACCGCAGTCGACAGGTTTTCTGAAAAGAGGACGTACATGGCTGCTTAACCAATGATAACACACTTCTAAAAATGAAGAAGCTAGGACATAGAATGTGCGTATGCCTGGGACTCCCTTCCTGCGTTGCTCTGGCTAAAAGAGGACGAGCCAATAACTGCAAGAAGGGGCTGTTTTGGTTCAATAATATAAATTTGAGGCAGCACCCAGCATTAATTCACATGGCGTGGAGCATAAGAAGTAACTGGTTCTAAAGAAAAGCTAGAATATATATATATATATATATATATATATATATATATTCCATTTAACAGTCCGGTACTGTCCTAATTGGTTCAGAATTGATTTTTTCTACTTTTCAGTCTCTTTAGAAGAGCACGGGATAGTCTTTTGGGTGAAAGCAGAATAAACAAAACAGTCTGTTTAGGCAGGGGCTGACAGTGACCCTCCTCTTCTTATGCCATCTGGTCATAAGCTTTTCAAATAGTGAATTATCATTTTATTTCTTAAAAGTAACATTGCACATGTTCTTTGCAATGAAAGACATTTTCAACCTTAGTACTTAAATAATGTAAATGTTAGTACTTTCTCTAGGGAAACAAGACCAACAAAAATAGGATAATAACCATAAAAGTTAATTCAACACTTTCACAGAAACTGCTCCAATTATAAATTTTATTCATATATATTTCCAAATGTTTTTAATTGTACAATAGATTTCAAAAATTCTTTTAATTTTATTATTGCATGTTGGATTTAAAACTATATAAGATTTAATATGTATTAATTTTTATTAATTTTATCGAGAAACAAATAGCAATGAGTTTCAAAACCGATTAGTAGGACAGCTTCAATAATTAATACATTGCATACTCTTGTCTTTGTAGTGGTTATTCATATTATACGATGCAGACATGATATCCTGCCAAAACACTTTTAGTGCAAATCTTTCTTCTCATTGAATTAAGAGAAAGTGGTTGTATATCTCTCCTATTTTGTATATATAGATATAAAATGGTCCTTCATTTGTATCCCCTTTTTTTGCTTAGTTTTGTCAGAGATAGGTATTCCATTGTCATTAAAATACTGTAGGTGTGTAAATTCAGCAAAATAATTCAATATATTTAAAGGTATATACATATTTATAAGTAGATTAAAATTTAAGGTTATATGTTAATATTTATAATTTTGTTTGAAGTAGTATTTATTGGTTTATGTAACATTTACAGAATTATATATTCTAATACCCATTAACACAGTTAAAATCTCTCACACATAATATTACTCAATGCTTTACAACAGGTAAGTAGTCCCACAATGTGGCATATCCCCTTCTGTGTCCATTGTGCCCACCACACAGAGAACTTGCCTGGTGGCTTCAAACTCCACCTGTGTTTGCCACTGAGTTGGGTGACTCCAGAGCACCATAAAACTTTAAAACAATTCAACATTAATGAACCAACAATTCAAATTTTATCCTGGCTTTCCACTTCTGATAAAAAAGATACTAGGACTGAGTTCTTACAACAGGCAATTTATTAATTAAAAATATAATTGGCATGTTCAATAACATTTTTATTATGTCCACCATGATTTTTTTCACTACATGCTATTTTTTTGATATTTTGGCAAGAAAGAATAGTTATGTGTCCAATTGAAATTCACATTAGTCAAAACAACTTTTCTGACTAAATTCACATACTTAACCTAACAAGTACAAGAAAACAGCAAGTGCATGATTCTAGAAATAAGCAAAGGAGATGGAAATGTAAGAAGAGAAATTAACATCATCCATATGAAAGCTGAACTCATGTTGAGTTTATGATCACATGCTAGATTTATTGCATTAATCCCCACCCAAACTTAAAGTCATGGACTACTGAAGGACACAAAGGCAAAATTGCAGCAGCACTTTGCTTGCATCAGGTATAACTCAGAAGTAGGTATAACTCAGAAAGCCCCAGATCCACACTTTGCTCCTAGATCACCTTAACTTCCCACTACTGTCTGGTCTTAGGCTGTGACTCTATCACAGACAGGACAGTGCTGAGCTCTGAACAAGAGCCACCTGGTGAGTGTCACCTTGAGATTTACAACATCCCTTCCTGAGTCCCCAGCCACACCAACAATTAGCATGGAGGAAAGGGTGAGGAAAATACTGAAACTCCACATGTACAATAAGGATGTTTAGAACATTTATACTGGAGAATTGTTTTGAAAATCAAAAGAGATGATTCACTTTAGTGTCCAGACAAATGTCAACCAGGATTTTGACAACAATTACCTCATAAGCATCAGGGTAACTGTAAATTAGTAAATAAAAGAAAATAATTTTCCATTCTTACTTCTTTGACAATCTACTATTATCTGGTGTTGCTCATTGCTCCCAGATCTGAACAGATGAAAAATGGATGGAGCAAACCAAACCACAGTGACAGAGTTCATTTTCCTGGGATTCCCCGGCTCTCCCTCCCTGCGGCTCACTCTCTTTGTGGCCTTCCTCTCCGTGTACCTGCTCTCCCTCATGGGAAACTCCCTCATCATCTTCCTTGTGCTCATGGACTCCACTCTCCAGACACCCATGTACATCTTCTTAGGGAATCTGTCCTTCCTGGAGGTCTGGTACACCACGGCCACCGTGCCTAAGTTGCTGGCCACCTGCCTCTCCAAAGTTGTCACCATCTCTGTTCCTGGATGCATTGCCCAGCTCTACTTCTTCTTCTCCATGGGAGCCACAGAGTGCTTCCTGCTTGCGGCGATGGCCTATGATCGGTACGTGGCCATATGCAGCCCTCTTCGCTATTCACTTCTCATGAATGCTCAGATCTGCCTGAGGTTTACATCTGGGTCTTGGGTTGGGGGTTTCTGTGCTACTCTCCCCACTACCATACTCATCTCTCACCTTAACTTCTGCGGTCCCCAGAAGATCAACCATTTCTTCTGTGACTCAGACCCTGTTTTCAAGCTCTCCTGCACAGACACCTTCTTTGTGGAAGCCCTGAGTTACACATTTAGCTCTGCTGTGATCCTAAGCTCTTTCCTCCTCACCATCTCCTCTTATGGCAATATTGTGGCCACAGTCATCAGGCTGTCCTCCCGAGAGGCTCGGAAGAAGACCTTCTCCACCTGTGCCTCGCACCTCACTGTGGTCACCATCTACTATGGCACCATTATCTTTGCCTACGTCCGTCCTCCAGCCAAGTACAACTTCACCATTGGTAAAGTGGTCTCTGTGTTCTACTGTGTGGTCACGCCACTGGTGAACCCTCTCATATACGCCCTGAGGAACAGGGAGGTGAAGAAAGCATTCAGGAAATGTTTTGTACCAAAGACATTTTTGTTGACTAGAATGGTTGAAAAGCTTAGAGTTTTCAGTGAAATTGAATAATGTAGAGTTGTAATTATATTTTTATTTTCAAATGCTAAGTATTTAAATTTACAATATAAAATTGGTAACACTTAAAATTGTAAAGTTTTCATAATTTAAGTTTTGATTTGAATTGGACAAACATGCTATTCTATACTTAGTCTTTATATAAATGTTTTAATACAATAGCAGAATGAGAGAAAAATTATGGGCATAATATTCTTACCCACCAGGCATTCACACACAGTGGATAACACAGGTTTTGTCCTATACATTCATGTTAAATATTTCCATAGCTAATGCAGTAACATAGTATATAATCCAAAACTGGTATATGGAATAGCTTCATACAAATACATGCAGTTATATCCTCAAAATACATTTGCTTAATAAATATAAAGCCCTTAAAAATATAAGGAACTGGACACTACAAGCAATCATTGAGCATTATATTGCTATTAAAATTAACATGACAAAGTGTTTTTATAAAAATAAGGAGTATTCAGGATTTTTAGGTAACAATACTATAAACAAATAACTGAACTTAAAAACGTTAGCAGGGCCGCATCATTAGAAAACTGAAAAAAAAAGAGAAAAAATATGCAGGTATAACAATAGATTTTTAAAGAAAAAAATTTCTACCAAAAAATAATAATAGCAGCAATATGCAATTAAGCAAAAACACATTTCATTCTAAAAGGAAGGCAGAGTCCTACAAAAGTTGCTACTAATGACTGCTTAGCATTTAAAGCCCTTTTTATTAAAAATAATAAAATAAAATAAGCAGATATATAGTAAAGTTCACAGATAAGTTTCTCTGTAAAATAAATAAAGTATTCATTGATTAGCATCATGAATACAGTAAAATACAGCCTATTTTTACATGGTTATATACAGTACACAGATCACCAGCTGGTAGCCTGGTTTTCAAAAAATATTTTGTTCTTATTCTTGTTTTATAATTAAAATATGCATTCAGTATATAAGAAAAGAAAGGCAGAAAAAATAAGAATCACTGCGTTTACACTGTGTTACTCTTGTATGTACGTGAGAAAACTTTACAGCTTCTGTTAAGGTAGAGTGGTTTGCACAGAGCTGGGAAGGGCGCTGCAGGAACACTGCACACTGAGCTTTGGGTGTTGGTGGGCACTGCCTGCTGGCGTGGCCAGAGGAAGAGCGGAGTCCGTGTTGCCTGGAGGAAGTGAACTGCACTCTGACTCTGAGGACAGTCTGCTGTCTGCCGGGGGCCACCCACAGCTCCCCGGTCAGCAGAAGCAATCCCAAAGCCACTCACAGGCCA